TGATAACTTTTGATTAACTTAATTGGAGATGTTTCCCTTAAATCCCAATTGTTTCTTTTTCTTGACATTGGACTTTTTTTTTAAATATCCTTAGATAATTTCTGATTTTTCTCTATTAGATCCATAATCAAAGTCCTAATTTATTACAAGAATCCTAAAATATTTTAATTTCTTTTTGACAACTAATGATATTTCATTTTAATACATTCATAATCACAAGGCTTAAAAAAGCCCCTCAAGTGTACTCAACTAATCCACTGCCAAAAAGATCAATCGGTTCTTCTTCCTTTTTGAATATGAATTTGATATATTAGATATCACAGTAGTTATTATTTCTCTTAATTTTCTTTAAAATAGTCTATTAAAATTTTGAGGAAATTTATTTCAAGATCTGTATATAAGTCATAAGTGAGATATCTAGACTTAATTAAGATAAGGTGAGAGAAATCTCCTTTGTTAGTTTATTTACTAACTTTGCACTTTCAGATAATATTAAGTAAAAGACTTTCCTTTTATCTTTCCTCAAAATCAAGTATGTCAGAGAAAGTTCATAGGCAATCAAGTTATTTTATTTCTTATCCTGTAGATCCTGTGCTTTCTAATAATAATTTTATTTAAATATGCAAAATTTATAAGATTTGTGCTTAATAAAATTGATTAACTTTAGGAGAAATAAAGACATTTAATTTTAATATACATTGAATGAAGAATTAATAAATAGTTACGTAATGTAAAAATGAGGTAGAAGAATGTATTTTAGGAGTTTAATAAGAGTTGGAGGTAAGATAATACAATGATCATTAGTTGTCTTTCAGTAGAATTGATGCATTTCTTGATTAACTTCCTCTTGTTTCTTATCAACCTGTTCCTCACAAAAGCGTTAATGATGCTCCAAAATTAACTTAGATCTCATTCTCTTTAATACAAAACTATACCAATTAATTAATTTAACAAGTGGAACCCATTTTTAAATCAATTATTCATTAACAATTTCAAAATCTAACATAAGTTTAATCATCAGATTAATATACAAAAGATAATAATGAATAATTACATCCAATTTAATAACACAACGAAGATTAATCAAATTCTAACCCATTCACTTATAATTTAATACAAAATCATTCAATTAAATAAGAGGAAACTTGTAATGCAATTGCTATTAATAATGATAATTCAATTGTATTAGCTGGATGCAATAGTAAGATCAAAGTATTTGAATTTAAATAAGAATAGTTGAAACTAATTCAACTTTTAAGTGAGCATTAAAGTATTGTTAATACTTTAAATTTTATGAAGAAATCTACTCAATTTATCTCTGGGAGTTATGATAAATAGATAATAATATGGTGTATGGATTAACATAATTAATGGATCTGCTAATACAAATTGAATGAACATTAAATTTCAATTAATTGTTTAATTTTGAATAATAATGAAGATCTTATCATATCAGGAAGTAGGGATAAAACAATTAAATTTTGGATAAAAAAGAATGATTGGACATGTTCATAAACTATTACAGATTCTACAAATGATGTTTTAGGATTAAGTTTGAATGAAAAATAAAATAGAGTGATATCTTGTGGAATAGATATGTTTATATTAATAATAGAGTAGTAATAATAGGATTAGAAATGGAATGTAATTTAAAAGATAAAAGTTGATTAATATGGTTATAGAATATGTTTCATCAATGATAATGTATTCACATTTCAACCAAGTGTAAAAGAGTAAATGTATGTTTATGAGATCAATATTAATAATAATT